ACAGGTGAATCACTGTGGCTGGCCTTGGATGGTGAAGTTGTAATTTTCTAAGTGGTTTTGTCCACTCAAAGAACTCAATTATAACTAGCAGATTTCTGGGTAAGCAAAGAATGAGAAGAAATGGAGCTGAATATTCTGAGCCTTTTATTTTAGACCATAGGTTCATATAATTGGGTTATTCATGATCCTTGATTCGTGACACATTATCATCATAGTCTTAGATGCAGAGGTCCATGCATGTCCAACTTCATTCATTATTTAGTTCTTTTTTAAAGTGGAATTTTTATGTCTAATTTCTAACAACCAACTTCTCTTTCCTAATTTTTCAAATACAAAAGTTTTATTTGGAAAGTAATCCTAGGAAAGACTTAGAGAAATAAAGAAGAGAACTGATAAATGATGCGTTATCAAACAAGTTACCACTCTGAGTAGATCTTAATTGTCTGGATAATTCTGGGAACCAATGTAGATTACATGAATCAGAATTTTCTCTTTCTAGGGGAAAGTGTGCTGGAATATTTAAAGCTGATAACTTTAAATATTAAAGGGATATTAATTCTCTGGCATTTTCAGACCACCACATCCAATGGCAGAGGGCTCCCTGAAATCTTAGACAGTTGAAAGTTGGGCTGGCATGCATGGAATTACAGAGGAGGCACCAATTACATCTGCCACAGTTAGAAGCTAAACAGTATTATTAATGCATATGTTTCAAAGGTACTCCCAATCAAATTAGTTCCTAAATGAATTTTATGCTTTCAACATTTAGCCAACAACAAATGGTTCTTTCCTAGTTAAAATAAAGAACTTAAATGGGATTGACATTGGGATTCCTAATGCCTGACAAATTTTAAAGACCATTGCATAGTTTGATGAGTTTTGGCAAATGTATAAACTTGTGTAACCTATATCCCAACCAAGATATTGAACAGAAATTCTGCTGGTGTCTCCTTTCAGTCACTCACCATTTTCTGTAAGTAATTCTTACTCTACCTTCTATCATAGGTTGCCTGTTCTTGAATTTCATATGGAACTATCGTATAGTACATGGTCCTCTCTGTCTGGCTTCTTTTACTCAACATAATGTTGCATGTATTATTTGTTCCATCTCTTTACTGTAGAATAATATTCCATTGTATTAGAATAATATTTTATTATATTAATTATATGAGGAAGCCCAGGGAATCTTCCTCTCAGAAATGTTTTTGAGGATTTAAGAAGGTCTTTTTAGAGACCAGGGGATTTTCCAAAGCTTTTTTATTTAGCCTTTTCATTTTTAAAAATACGTTGTCCTAGCCCTGAAAATTAACATAGCTTTATCAACACAGATGCCTGCCAAATTAGGCTGTCTCTAAAATAGCTCCAGCCATGGGCAAGGCAGAATTTTAATAAATATGGATGGTCTATTCTTAGTATTTCACCACTTCAGGTTGTGTGTTTCTTATTCTTCTGTGTAGTTCTTTAAAACCCATTTGAAATTTATTGAAACTGATTCTGTGGCCTTGCATATATGCCTTATCCTGGTGAATATAACGTGTAGACTTGAAGGTACATTCTGCATTTGGGTGTTTTATTCTATAAATTGAATTAGGTCAAGACAGTTGATAACATTTTCAAATCTTGTGTGTTACTAAGTTTTTTTTTCCTACCTTACCTGTCAATTCAAAAGAAGGTTGTAAAAGAACAAATGATAGATGGGACAAACAGAAAAGAAATAGCGGGACAATAGACTTAAATCCAACCTTATCAGTAGATTTCAATCCAGCCAAGTCAACCGTATTTATGTTACATTAAATATAAGTGGATTAAATTCTCCCTTAACACCATCAGTTTTTGCTTCATGTATTTGGAAGCTCTGTTATTAGTTGCAAAAACATTTGCACTTGTTGTGACTTCCTGATGAATTAACTCTTATCATTGTAAAATATCTTTCTTTCTAGTCATACTTCCTGATTTGTAGTTTTTTTAATATATCCGCTCCTGCTTTCCTATGCTTACATATGTATGTTATCTCATTTTTCATCCTTTTACTATTATATTTCTTTATATTTAAAGTCTCTATTAATAGCACATAATTAGGACTTAAAAAAACTAATCTGATGATCTCTGGCCCTTATCAGTGTTTATTCCATTTGTACTTAATGTAATTTTTTAAATGTTATTTTAAAAAATTGTTTTATTTCGGTAACTTTAGGGGTTCAAGTGGTTTTCAGTTACGTGGATGCATTGTATAGTGGTGAAGTCTGGGATTTTAGTGCTCCTGTCACCTGAATAGTGTACATTGTACCCAATAGGTAGTTTTTCATCCTTACCTGCCTCTCACTCTTCCTGCTTCTGAGTCTCCACTGTCCGTTTATACCACTTTGTATGCCTTTGCATACCCATGGCTTAGCTCCAACTTACACAATACTTAATCCGATTATTTATGTGCTTCAGTTTAAGTCTACCACCTTGGCTATTGATTTTTCTTCCTCTTATGTGTCCATTGTTCCTTCATTACTGCCTTTGGATTTAATAAAATTGTGACTGAGGCTGCAGGGTTGTATGAGCCCAGGAATTCAAGACCAGCCAACTGGCAACATAGTGAGACCTTGTCTCAAAAACAAACAAAAAGTAAAGTTTCTGTGAATTCATGTTCTCCACAACACTGGCTATGTCAATTTTTTTTCACTAATTGGGTATAAAACATTATCACATTCCTTCAGATTCCTCATTTATTAATGATATTAAGCACCTCTTCATATTTTTATTGGTTGAAAACATTTCTGCCAAATGATTGTTCATATCCTGACACCTCTCATTTTTTCATTGATTTCTAGGAATTCTATACTTGGAATACCACTGAACTGGACCACTTATATTTGACTACTTTTAACTTATTAGCGAAATCTTTGGCCTTTGATTCTAATGCCAGTCCCTGGCTACCTGTTTAATTTGCAAAACCTTCCAAATTGGACCCCCTTATCCTACTACATTTTCCCCCTTAGCACCTACCACCTTTGCCATGTTACATACGTGTTTATTACTTGTATGTACTGTCTTTCCCTTACTAGTACATGTAGGCTGCTACATGATATAGAGATTAAGAGTTAGCGTTTTGAACTTTCATAGCAATTTAACATTGTCATCATATTTTTATGAAATGAAGAGATTCATCTCTGATGAATTGGAAAGTTTTGAAGAACTGGTTCTTCACTACTTTGAAAAGTGTGATCTAGGTTGTCTCATACCTTCATGTAACAGCATTTGAAAGGCTCATTGAACAGAACAGAGAAGAACTCAGTAACTACTATACCTGTCGGACTTGAAAAAGTGTTTATGCTCTACACAAAATAGTTGCTAACAAAGACGAATCTGTTTTTCTGATTTAGTGAGAAAGTATGTTTTTCTAACATGGGCATTACTTTGTGTTATTGGTATTCCCATGTTTATAGCTGAGCCTGGTATGTGTCTCTTTGTTTTATATATACACATATATAAATGTATCTATACAAAATACTGCTTTTTAAATGAAAGAGCATGCAAGCCACTTAATTATGTAATGCAGCTTAATCCTTTATGCTCTCAGTTTTCATGTTTTGAGTTTCTCAGACAAGAGTGTGGTTATTAAATGCATGTCTTGCTTCTTTGGATGGCGCACTGGCTGAGTGTGTGAATACATTTTTTGGAATGACCTAGGTTCATAACCTAACTTGTTGATTCCTTGTTTTCTGGGTAACCGTAGACACATACCTTGAGTATTTTCATGCTGTAGTATTTCCAGATAAATGGTGGTGATATTTTTCACCTTTGGAAGTGAGTAAAGTTCTGGAAAATCCTTAAGTGAAATGACTTTAATTCAAAACAATATTTTACAACAATTATATGGCATTATGTTAGAATGAATGCATAATTGGGAACTGATCCAAGAAGCTGATACCAGAACTATAAATATATTTGTGAAAATAAAGTGGTGAGATTTGGCTGCTTGGAAACAGAGGGCAAAGGTTTCTGTGAAACAGCATATGCCTTTTATTTCCCAGGTATTTGTTCTATCACAGTATATATAACATAGTAAGAGCTTTATTTGGGTGCTTAGTCTGGTACCTGAAATGCGTTAATGAATGTTGAAAATCACATTATCTTGACTTTTTGTGCCAGTGACTAAATTTTTGGCAAGCATTATCTCAATATATTTTTTAACAGATAAACCAATGAATAGATTGTGACATAATTTCAGGATAGACCCATCTTCAGATAGGATCAGGTAAAGAGAAATTATGTATTATAGTGGAAGTCAGACAGACCTAGGTTAGAAACTGAACTTTGCTGTATTTACTTTGCTGTGTTTCCATGCAAAAATCAAATATCTTTTATCCTCATTTATAAAATGGAGATGAATTCACACATTTTATAAGGCTGTTGTCTAAGTATTATGGATAATTTATGTAAATGTGTAGGAACCATTATAGGTACTCAGTATGTGATACCTGTGGCTCCATTACAAAAGGTTTAATACCAGTAGGAGTGTATGTGTGTGTGGTGTGTGTGTGCGCACATACACATAGTGTATTTGTTACTGAATCCTTTTTGTAGACAGATCTTAAGCCGTTATACAGAAAGAAAAAAAAAATTAATAGAGCAGAGATTGGGTGGGGCTGGTAAAGGGAGAAAGGAGTCTTGTCTGGCCAGTGCTTGTCATGGCCCTCAGCAAGCTTCCATGGCCATCCCTGTTGCCCTTCACAGAGGCCTAGAGTTCTAGAGAACAGCATGGAAACCATGCTAGTGGATTTTAAACACCGCAAGTGCAAGAATGGAATCTTCTTTATTAACTGATACAGGTATCACATGTGGCCTTGCGCTACAGTAGGTGAGTGGCCACAGCTTACTACCCCACTACTGAAGTTCCTCCTCCATATTTGACTACACAGCAGAGTTATCCTTTGAACCTGAATTAGCAAACCCACTAGCAAGCCTATGCCATTTAATGGATATAGTAATAACATCATTTTTTTTTCCAGATCTAGGTTGGAATTTGCCCCTGACAAATAAGAAAATGATGAGTGATGCAAGCGATATGTTGGCTGCGGCATTGGAGCAGATGGATGGTATCATAGCAGGTGATCTGCATCCTGTGAAAGACAGAATCACAACATTTACTCTGCTCACTTCAGTTTTTCACTACAACTTTCATATTATCTTTTCACTTGATTTTCATTTTTTAGCCCTATGCCTTTTGCTTCCCTGTAATTTTGCCTTTGTTCTTCTTCTCCATTTTCTGCCAGCATTATTCTCAAACATTATTTTAAAGTATCAAAAATTCTAGTTCCATCCTAGGTTTCTAATCAAGGATTAAGAATCTGTATCTCAGGTGATTCTGGTGTAGGTGATCTGTGGACCATACTTCGAGGGACACTGCTCTACCCAGTAACCGTGAATGTTCTGACCTGTTTTCCTGAATTCAAAATTCACTTTTCACCAACGACTCCCATATGTTTTTTGTTTGTTTGTTTGTTTGTTTTTTTGAGAGGGAGTCTCGCTCTGTTGCCCAGGCTGGAGTGCAGTGGTGCAATCCCAGCTTACTGCAACCTCCACCTCCCGGGTTCAAGCAGTTCTCTGTCTCAGTCTCCCAAGTAGCTGGGATTTAGGTGCCCACTGCCACACCTGGCTAATTTTTGTATTTTTACTACAGATGGGGTTTCACCATCTTGGCCAGGCTGGTCTTAAACTCCTGACCTTGTGATCCACCCTTCTCGGCCTCCCAAAGTACTGGGATTACAGGCGTGAGCCACCGTGCCTGGCCATATCAATTTCTTTTTTTTTTTTTTTAAGAGAGGAGGTCTTGCTCTGTTGCTCAAGCTGGAGTGCGGTGGCTATTTACAGGCATGATTACCTGTGAATAACATGCATAGTGCAGCCTTGAAATGTTGGACTCAAGCGATCTTCCCACCTCAAGTACCTGCAATTACAGGCATGCGTCACTGCACCCCGCTTGTTCACATCTATTTACCTTCCCAATTCTTTGCTAAGCTTCCAGTCCCTGTCTCTAATTTCCAACCAGATATCTCTCCAGAAATGTCCTATAGGCATATCAATATAATCATTTAACACACTGAGCTCATTATCTTTCCTCAGAATTTACTCTGATATCTGGGGTCATTTCATAACCCTTCATCCACAGTTTTTCTAAGCCAGAAATCATTTGGTCCAGTATTGGTCCGGAATGGACCAGCTCTAATATTTGTATTTTCTGATCTGCTACTTTCTTAACCATCATCTCCATGAGGCCAGCACACCTCACACCAAAGCCCACCAGGTTCTTTTTCTTTCTATACCCCAGGATTGGCCTCCTCGTTAGGAATTGGACCATGGACATGTACCATCAACTACATGGTTTTAATTTTTGCACCATGTAACTCTGACTTGGAGAGATTTATGTGATTGAATTCTCTTTTTTCTGTCTCTTTTGATTGTTCCTTACTGTGACTAGACTGGTTTACCACCTTCGGCTTTGGTATTTTTATCTAACATAAATCCCATTGCTGTCTCTGTGATTTTGTTTAACTTAGGTTCTAAGGCCCTGGAATATTCCAATGGGATTTTTGATTGCCAATCTCCCACCTCTCCATTCATGGGAAGTTTGCGAGCTCTGCACCTTGTGGAAGACCTGCGTGGATTGTTAGAGATGATGGAAACAGATGAGAAAGAAGGTTTGAGATGCCAGATCCCAGATTCAACAGCAGAAACGCTTATTGAATGGCTTCAGAGTCAAATGGTAGGGTCTGCCTGTTATAAATTCTGTGTTATGAATCCTTTGTTGCTTATTCTAAAATTTAGAACATAGAATAGCTGATTAGAACAAGAAAAGTTTAAGGCAACAGATGCGCTCGTTTTTTTTTTGAGACGGAGTTTCAAAAAACTGTCGTCCAGGCTGGAGTGCAGTGGCGCGATCTTTTCTCACTGCAAGCTCCACCTCCTGAGTTCGCACCATTCTCCTGCCTCAGCCTCCTGAGTAGCTGGAACTACAGGCGCCCGCCACCATGCCCGGCTAATTTTTTGTATTTTTAGTAGAGACGGGGTTTCACCGTGTTGATCAGGATGGTCTCGATCTCCTGACCTTGTGATCTGCCCGCCTCGACCTCCCAAAGTGCTGGGATTACAGGCGTGAGCCACCGCGCCTGACCGAGGATAACTTTTTTTTAAAAGGTGCTGTTAGTGTACATTTTATAAATACCAACTGCGGGTGACCTGATTCTGCCCATAAAAACAGACTCCCTTTTGACTGTGCTTGAATGACCTCCTGTGGCTTAAATCAAATAGTCCTATAAGGGAAAGAATCTTGCACATAATAGATGATTTCTCAGTCATATTGGGTTCTTCACTGTAAAGGACCCAATAGCAATTCTAAATGGAAAGCATAATGAAAGACATTCAAAAAGCCACAGGATTTACAGCAGTATTTGACCTGAAGTGCCATCTAGTGGTTTATGGCAATCATGTCAGTTCCAGTTCTCGAATTAAATTGTGGAGTTGGGCCTTGAACCCATTTATGCATAGTGTTCCATTATTGGAACGCTAAGCTTGTGGGAGTTATTTATATTCTGCTCAAAGTCATCGCCAAGGTCTCATTTTTCAAAAAAAAAAAAAAATGCAACCTCTGGCATTAGTGGGTTAATGGTGTTATTCACTGAACAATGAGGCCTCTTTCTAGGCATCTTTCTCAAAAATTGATGATGTGGCAGAGCTACCCTTTGTCTGGGCACGGTGGTAAATACCAGGATTTTAATCTGTGACGATTACATAAAATCTAAAGAATGTCACAAAAACAGATTCAGTGGAAGACAAAGGAAAGGAGATATTTTGTGTTTAAAGGATATTCAGTTTTCAGTAAGATGCACTAATATGCTTATGAGCTAACTGTGTTGATATAAAAACTGATGAGAATTGTATGAAAGAATCCTGATCTACTTTTGGATCTGTGGTAGAAAACTGCTTGCTTTGGGAACCTTAAGAGTACATCCTACAGTTAAAACATTTTCATAGGATGTGACACAAATACTAGAGCTTCCAGCCAGTCCTGTGCTGAATACTGTGTGTTCCCACCTATTTTACCTCTGAGTTTCTGAGTGCAAATAATATAATCCTTCAGCGGTGGTGCAGCTACACAAACTTGACAATTGAGGATATTTTACTTGTTAAAACACATAATGCCTTACTATTATACTTTATATTTGCTCTGCAAATTTCTCCTCCAGAGATTTAAAGGTCCAGGTTTGCTGATTTCTTTGGGGATTGCTTCATGCTCTGAAATTGGTGTTTCCTGGCATATTCCTTAGTCTATTTCAATGTCCTATCTCACCCCTTCTTTACTCCATGTTCTTCTGACCATTTAGCATGCAGTGAAAAAAGGAATTTACTATTGTTAGTAGAACCTATTTCTATCCCATACCCAGAGGCCACCAATGGCAACAGTAGCCTAAGCATACCTGTAGTTCAATTTTTGACATGTGTCTAAAACATTTCCATTAACATGTGCTTAATCTGTTCTGTGAAAGTATGTCGAGAAATGATAAAAAGTAATGATGATTACATCTGAATATAAGTTAGATCATGACACTCACGCCTTTTTTCAGAAACTGCCAATGGCATCACATCTTACTCGGAGTAAAAACCACAGTGCTTACTGTGGGCTGCGAGGCCTCGTAGGATTTGCTGCCCGTAACTTTCTGACCTCATCTCTCATCACACATCTCCTTATTCACTCCACGCCAAGCACATTGGCTATTTCACTGATTCTTTAACATGCCAGGTACACTGGCCTCTGAGCCTTTGCACTGGCTTTTCCAGGCACTGGCTTTTCACTCTGCCTGGAAAGCTCTTTCCCCAGATGTTTCTATGGCTAGCTCCCTCATATTCTTCTGGTATTTACTCAAAAGTCCTGCTCTCAGTGAGGCCGTGCGTCACCACCCTAACTAAAATTATACTCATTTATTCTTTGTCTTACATCTCCCTGCTTTATTTTGTTCTTAGCATTCACCACTTTCTTATGTGCAGTGTATTTGTGACGCGTATATGATTTATTTTCTGTCTTTTCAACTGGAATGTAAGCATCATGAATCCGATTTTTGCCCTTAATTTTTAAAAAATACTGTATTCCTAGTGCTTAGAAGAATGCCTGGCTCAGTAGTTATATTTGTAATGAATGATGCTCCATGGATGATAAAGTGGAATGCACGTTCGAATGAATGGAAGTTGTTTCAAGTTTATTCCTCGGCTGGGTAATGGCTTGTTGATCAATGTTTTTAGTTGCTCTCTCTCTTGTTATTTGACATTTTAACCTTGAGAATCCACAAAATGACAAATATTTTAAAGAACTAATGAAGATTCAGTTTTTATTCTAAAAGTAACAATAACAAAATAAACTAGATGTAGTTCTAGAGAGATAAGGAATTTTTGTAGTTGCTAAATTTATATCCATCTAACTTATGTATATGAATTCCTCACCTTGCCCCCAACTTTCCAAATTAAGTGTGTTTTCTCGAGCACACAGAGAATGACAGGATGAAAGAAGAAAGGCAGCAAAAGGCAAAAAACAAAGCAAGAAGAGGAGAGCAGGACTGGCTGTTTGGAACCATAAAAGCATAGGAGTGAAATTGAGTTGTCACCACACACCTACCATGATAGACTTTATTTTAGAACCAAAAAACAACTTGGGCCAGCATTGGGAATCCAACAAGTAGAAGATTATATGCTTATAATTAGTGATTGGCTGATAATATTAGATTTTTCCAATTTAATATTTCAGAAGTTAGGATGTGTTTTATGATCTTAAAATGGGTATATGTATACATTTTAGCTGGGATCCATCCTCCCTTCCTCTCTCCCCTCTTTCCTTTTTATTAATAAGGTACTTAGAATAGTCAAATTTTAGAGACAGAAAGTAGAATGGTGACTGCCAGGAGCTGAGGGGAGCAGAGAATGGAAAGATAATACTTATTGCATATAGAATTTCAGTTTTGCAAGATGAAAAGATTAATAATGGTGATGGTTGCAAAACAGTGTAAATGTGCTTAATACCGCTGAACTATACACTTTAAAATGGTTAAAATGCTAAATTTTCCATGTGTATTTTACCACAATAAAAAGTTAAAATTGATGGCATCCTAGAATTTAGGGAACACAGAATCCTAGCAAATTCCCCCTTCATATTTGAGTATGGGGAAACTGCCCAAATAAAAGAGATTGTGATGTTTAAAAAAAGGAAGCAGTGAATGATAAGGCAGGATTGTATCTAGGCAGTTTCAAATGCAGGCTGTAGTAACAGCAGACCTGAATTTTAATGTTGGCCCTAACTCTTCGAAGCTTGTATGACCTTGTGAAAATGTCTGAAGTTCTGTGTCTTGGTTTTCTCATCTGTAAAATGGGGATGATGGTTACTGCCACTTAGGATTGTAAGGATCCTATGAACTAATGTATGCTGAGGGCTTATGGATACGCCTGGAAAAAGGCTAGTCAGAAAGGCAATACTGAAGAGTAGAGCATAGAGAAGAGAATAGAGGGAAAATGTTTAACAGGAACCCTTTGCAGTGAGGGAAAGAGTTGGGTCCAGTTGCAAGGGGAGTTAGGTTACAAACCACCCATACATAGTTCCCTTTTTGCGATAAAAGAGTACAAACATTTCTCAGACTACAGAGAAGCTTCTGGAATATTTTAGAAAAACTTAAATTCAAAAATTTTTGGAAATAATTATGTATCTGTAAATAGTAACAGATATATAATTATGGTTCCATTCATGTTTAATGATGGCCAACTTGACAGGCCCTGTACTTTAAGATGGATACTAACCTTTTCATTAGTGCAACTGGGCATTCGCAGTTCCAACTGTCATTTTGCCTGGGCCAGGGAGATCCCCTGGTTTCTTGTAGGATGCAGGTTATTTCTTTACTACTGATTGCTCCTGCCTGTTTGTTTCATATGATCAGACACTGAATGTGATCAAATACCAACACTAGTAACCTGTTATAGTGAAGGGACATTAAATCTGTAAGAATGAATTTACAAGTGTAGCTGTAGGCTTCTAGAAATGAACAAATTTCTTTTAAAACTCAGAAGTGTGTCTCCTTGGTTAAAAAAAACTATAGACTATGACATATTTGTTTAGTTACTAAGGCTGAATTTTCTGTTTTGATTGTGAAATATTATAATGTGTTAACACAGATATTAATAATGGAGAATTACTTGCTTTATGAAGCTCCAGATTCAAGAAGGCAAATAGAAAAATATGGCTAATTGTTTGAGTCAAGCAAGTAGTTATTTACTTTAGGTCTAATTTGATGAGTTGCCCTAGAACATTCTTACAATGTTTTTTTTTAACTGAGGATCATGACCTTGATCCATGTCAGCAGGGGATCAGGTAGTGAAATCCCAAAGATGTCTTACTATTTGGCAGTTATAATTATGAGGCCATTCCAAAGTCAGCAGAAATTACAAAAATACAGTTTTCAACAAAGTGAGTGAAATACTAATGGTGAATACTAATGGTAGTAACTCCAAAGCAGGCATCATCACCCATGAGATAGATAGAGTGTAAACAGGGGAAATGAGGTGTTCTGGACTGGCTTCAGACCTGTTCATCATCATAATACACTTCTGTCTTATTTTTACATTAAAAGTTAGATAATATTAATCCCAAATGTGTATTTTTAAAAGTTGCTATAAAAATAAAAATACTCAACTTAAAAGAGTTCAGCCACAGGACATGCTCTCTGCAGGGTT